AGCGAGATTTTGCAACATCTCGTAGTGAAAAATACTAGCTCTTAACTAGAATCATAAAGAAGGTATACCGTAACTTGTTGTACACCACAGGGAGCACCCCAATAAGCCCCTAACAGAAGCTGAACTTCCACCTAGGCATATTAGGAAGGGAGTACTCGACCTAAAAAACATCATCCAGCAACATGTGCGACAACCGCTGGACAGGACGAGGTACAGACAAGCACTGAACGTCATTCACCAGGAATCAGTCAACACCTTCAAAGTCTCCCTTCCAGTGCATGGCGTGCTCGGAGTAAAACCACCACCCATTGCAGACAACAAGCTCAAGATCCCTCGAGAGATCCGCGTGACTTTATCACAACTAAGGTCTGGATATTGTAGCAGGTTAAACTCTTACTTATCCAGACTCGACCCCAGCATATCCAACGTACGCCCTCAAGTGGAGAGTCTCCTCACGACAGTAACCATCGCACATGCCCCCATAAACCGACTCATCTAGCCCTAGCTCGTTTCCTGGACCTCCCTCTTGAAGACCCCGGCGTCTTAGATTGATCAAGAAGGTAGCTTTGACGCAACAGTCGGAAAATTTAGCCTTCGTCGGGGTCCGAAATATGGTTGCCTGTAGCTCCAGATTCTGGAAAAAAAGTGGTCATAAAGCTACATTGCTGTCTACGGTTTCTAGAACTAACTGATATACAGACATCATGTCTACAAAGTTCTAGATGTGCGTTCTCTCCGCTATCTAAATTTATACTTGAATTATTACCTTGTTTTAGCAACCAACACAAGACAGGTTTCACGTCGAAAAGCTGAAATCATAATGGGCATCCAAGCAGGATTCCACTCGACTTGCTTTCCTCTTCCTGAAGAACATTGACCAGCAACTTATTATGGCGGAAAACAAGCCATATGTAGGGCTGCAAAATAACTGCTGGTTTTGGACCAGTTCAAGCGAAGACTGCGACTAATGGCAGACGATCTTAAGAATGGAGCATTATCGTAAAGGAAGAGCTGATCTAGCGACTTTTGCTAAATGGGCGAAGGGTTGGAATTGATCGTTCACTGACTGAAATTTTAAGATTTCAGTTTCAGACAAAAGCCTTCAGACTTCTTAAACGTAATGCTAAAGAAAAACAACAACTGCGGAGCTAATTAGACAAGAAAAAATCTTTTACAAGAACTTACAATAGCGAAGCCAATGGCTCAGGATAGAAATCTCCAAACAGACAACGCATGCAGTGCCGTGGCTCCAACATCACTGCTGACAGTCATAACTCCTGAAGCTGTAGATAATTGCTCCTATTTTAGTTCCACCATAAGCAGCCTTGTAGGCCAACGCAGAATCCCTCTTGCCAACAAGTGGTATTTTGGACCGCGTAGACAATTAAAAGTTAAGTTCTATCTCTTCAAACAAAGTCTAAACACTGAAAGTTGTTCACCTTTGCCGTCCTGCTGTATGATGCCGAAGTCAGAACGATGACATCATGTGATCTTCGTCTGTTCTCATAGTTTTCGAGAGAAAGATTTCGCAGTAAATTTAGGGTCCACGGCTTATTAGCGACGGCTGAGAACCAAATGAAAGTTAATCACTTTGGTTTTGAAATTATTCGATACAGTATTCAACGGTAGGAAGGAACTCCTTTGACTGGTTGTTAACTAGGCTATAATGGCATAGATAGCATCTCCGCAAACAAAGAAGAAGAAGAAGAAACTGTCAGGAAATTTCGGCACTAAGTTAGCAGTTATCAATTTGGAGCCTTACAGGAGTAATAGCCTTGTAGCTGACTGTGCAACAAAAATCAGATAACTGTGTATTTAAACCGCCAGGGATCATCTAACAAATCAACGAAAGACGCCTTACTTACTTACGAACAACTACAATAATTTAGCCTTGCCACTTTTAACAAAATGTTTTGTTTCAGATTGAAACCTAAAATCCGCTTTTTTGATGATCTGTTTTTTTTCGAAAAATATTCAAAGTATTACTGAAAAATGAGGAAACCTGCTTTTGAGAATCAGCCAATAAAATCACCTTTCATTTGTTCGCTTTATACTAATTCAAGCATTAAATAAGTTAGTGAAATTTTCAAAATGTCTACATCTTGTAATTAAAATAAATTTATAACTTATAGTAAAAACGAAGAATGAGTATTTATTTTGTATAATCTAAGTAATAATCTAAGGTATAAATATACCGACTTATCACTATTTTCTTAATCTTTTCCATAATATTAATATTTCTTCATATCCGTAATTAACTTAATTTATTTTATCTTATCTCTAAATAATAATAATAAATATTTTCTTGCTTCATAAAATGAAATCTTATTTTAATGCCTTCTAAGTACTCTGCGAAGCATTGGTTTTACTGTAGATCGCGTAGGAACTACCACGACAGCGTAGGTCATAAGCCAGGGAGTTGCTCGCTAATTAAAAAAGTAAATGCTTTCGCTAAAGCAGGATGATAATTACGCAATATGCACTATAAGAGAGTAACACCTTGTTCGGATCGATATCGAAAACACTTTAAAAGCCACTTCTGAGGATTGTGGGCACTGGAGAGTTCGCATGGAATTAAAGTGTTTTAAGGGGGTAGGTTCAATTACACCGTCAATAATTACGATTTGAAAAATATTTTTTTTTTACAAAGAAGGTATAATTCAATCATTATAAAACTTTGTACACTTTTTGAAATATAGATGAGGAATGTAAGAATTTGTTTTGTTTTTTTGAAAAGAAGATGGCAGCTGTGAGCTGGCGTGAAGTCGACCTCCAAAAGAAACGGCAACCACACTGGACGTCGTATTAATGACCTGTAACAGCCCATACAAAATTTTTGGCTTAAATATACATGTAATTTGTCGGTAAACCTTAAAAATTAAAAAAAAATATTTCTATTTTTCGAGAAATTGTTGTTGCCAATTTCAAAAATGTTGCTTTGAGGAAAACGCGTTTAAAGTTTTGAAAACTACGGCCGGCCGCTTTCGTATACCTGCTATGCGCTGAAAAAGGTGTTCGCGAAAAATGATGAAAAAACATATGAGGGGTTCGATTTTCGATCTGAAGCTTTTTGGAGCGTATTCTACGGGAAATTTCCTAATTTTTAAGAGGAACAAAAAAATCTATTATTTTGACCTTCTAATTGTATCTACCCCCTTAATTACCTCCTTAGCAGACAGCGAAGTTCAATCCTGAAGCTGTACAATAATTTAGTCTTTTTGATACTAGAGATACTTTTTAAAAAAAAAAAATTTGGTTTAATCCATAACAAAATAAAAATGTAAATCTGTAAATATGAACATATAAAGTAAACATGACTTATTATGGCCAATAATGTTTGGTTTTAAACCAGTTAAGAGAGTAGATCTCTTTTGGTTAACTAAATATGATTCCCAGAAAGTTATAGAAAATTAGTTAGAATGAAAAATTAAGCCACATTTTCTAATTGCGGTCGCCCCTCGGCAGGGAATGTCAAACCCCCCGAGTGTATTTCTGACATGAATTAAAGGCATCTCATAAAATAACCGTCAGCCGTACGGAGGTGGCTAATAAAAGCTGTTATTTTTATTTACTTTGATAAAAATACCCACCAAATTAGCGCATAACACCAATTGGAAAAAGTGAAATTTAAGTTTTCAGGAGGATTTCAGCGAAAAATGGTTTTTGTCGGTTTTTTTGTTTGACAGTTTTTATATGGCGCTACACAGAAGTTTTCATGCGAAATCTACATCCAAAAAATACAGACGACGGCGCTCCTGTGTATTAGTGATGCACTATATACTACACCAACTGAGGCTATGACTCTCCTCCTGTCCCATTGACGTGATGCGCCTACATAGTGCTGCTTGTGCTGAAGTAAGACTACAAAGGGTATGAAAGGTAATGCGCCACGGGCATGTTAATATTTCGAAAAGGTTTCGTCTACCAGTAAAGACGGATTACTGCATATCATTCACTGACGACAGATTTCGAGATAGTTATTCCGGTAATACCAGTAAGCGCAGAGTCGATTCATTTTTATATGAATTGAAATGCAACGTGCAGGAATAATTTGAAGTCTCTAGGCGCGGCAAGCTTTGGAGACTTGAGCGAGATAGCAGGGCATGTTAGTCAGGCATGGTAGTGGCCTATGTGAGCTCATGCCCCGCAACCACTTTAACTAACCCAGCAACCAACTGCATACTCGTATTTGATGTCGCTCCGAACAAGGTATAAAGACAGCTGCAACTAGTCGGCACTGCAGTTGTTTAGGTGATTGGTTAAATTGGTTCAAGCCCTGTCTAATTATACACTAAGTTCTTTAAAAGCGTAAATTAATTTAAAATTTTACTCCTAGGACCATTTTCTCCAGCCAAAGTTGTTAAGCAATAAATTCAATATGCATTTGGTGGTATGAAAAGAACAAAAACGACATTAAATAATTATAAACGCCATTGAGCAGCCAGGAATTGAATCGAATTGTTATATACACATAGATTGAAAATATATTTAATATGCATATACTATGTGGAAATTAGCCGTTATTTATGGGAGTTATACATTTATGTTTGTACGCAGGTGAATCAGTTTTGTTAGTGTGTGTGTACGATTAAACGAAATTACGAATATACGAATATGGCGTAAAATAGCACAGTAGCGTTGCTTACATACATACATATGTAAAGCATCAGGCTTTTAGTTGGTTTAGTTAATTTTTTTTTTTTGTTTTTTTTTTTTGTTTATCGTTTTTAGGCAACAGCTTTAGTTTAATGATATTGCATTTATATATGTTTTTGTTGAATTTTAATAATTATTTTAAATACTTCGCAGCGCAATGCAACGATATTTTTTTTTTGGTGAATATTTGAGGCGTTAATATTAGGTTAAGAAATAGCAAAATACATTTGTTTTGTTTATTACTAAAGCTATTGTTGTTATTATTATTTTACTAATATTTTGCATAGGGGTTTCGTAATTTTTTGTTTTTTTTTTTGTTTTTAGTTTTTGGCTAATTTGCATACCCTCTATTTGGTTAAGGACTGAGGTAATGCCTTGATTCACCATTCCGGTCTGCATCATAATCATGCCCACATCTGCAAGATGGTTTACAATTTGTTGTTTTGGTTTGTTTTTAATTCCATACTTACTACAAAATGGTACATATACATATACATACATATAAAAGAGAATCAATGATTTAATGATTTGAATTAACTGATTTGAGTTACCTTAACTTCGCCTATGAATGTAAATGAAGATGTAAATATGTATAGGCACTACTGCATAAAAATAGGTTTGAAATACATATCGTTTAGTACAGTTTAGTACACTAATTCGCATAATTAATCGATAAACGTGTCTGATGATATTTTGCGTTTAATATTTATTTTGATAAGGAGACAACTTTCGTCCGTTGGAATGGTGTAATACAGAATAAAAATATTGGCTAGAGTTGTTCTTTGGTGTTAAATACGCTTTATTAGTAGATGAAATACGCATTGTATGCCTTTCGTATGTGTATAACCCAGCAAACATTGTGAGCTTAACATTTTGTTGGAATTTTCATTTTGTTTAAATTTTTTTTTACTGTAAAATTGTAATAAAAAACTATTTTTCCTTTTACGCGATAATCGTATTTTGGCAAAAATACTATTGGTTTTTTTTTTAGTTTACATTTACAATAACAAAAAGTAGGTTCAACGAAGAATATTCATATTTAAAAAGTTAACTCATCAAATTTTAATAATTCATTTATCGATATCTATCAAGGACTCCAAGGACTAGGGGAAGTATGCCGATTGTCAAGTTATGGCAAAGTGGGATGAAGCGTAATCTTTGTCTTTTTCCCAATAAGCGCCCTTCAAGAGATAACCCTGTTTGTTTCTACGGATCTAGACTAGGTGGGTGTCAAACATCCCCTCCCTCCTTATTCCAAGGTGTCTTGCGTTTCCATGCTCATTGCATGGTATTCAGTCAGGGCGTTCAACTGCATTCGACCGGAGCCTCCCGCATACCGGTCCACCTCCGGGAGTAACGGTAGCTTGCTGCGGTATGGGGCTATAACGCAATCGACATTCCTTACCCTTTTAACCTCGTTAAAAATGCTACGAAGTACAAGGCGTTACAAAATCCCTCTATTTGAGAACCACACTGATGGACCGATTCCGTCAATAGTCAAACCCGCTGCCGGTGCATATAGAAAAAGTCGAATAGGTCTTCAACTCTTACATAAGGACAGCCTCAATCAGGTAGGGAAGCCCTTGACAGCTTTGAAGGGAGGCCACCAGATACTGCTGAAAACCAACGCCTCTGAACCTACAATGACCTCGGTATTAGGAGAACACGGTGAGTGACTTCAAGAGACACAGGCCTTTAAAACCCACCCAACCGAGGCGGCGAGAGGGAGAGCTGTGTCACGGTCCCAGGCTTACGCCGGTACACATCGATGAAATCTCCAATCGACAGAGAGCCAAGGCTTGGGTACTAGCCGAACTCTAATAGGCAGATGATATTCTGGAGCTGTTAATTTCCGTGACAGGAGGGCCGATGAGATGAGACAGTAGTCCAGATTAGCGTCGGAAGGTGTACGTTTGGCTGCAATCGCATAGCAATTCCAACTAAACACTAGCTTTCACAGATAAAATGTTTTCAAACTTTTCTACCACTTTCTTTAAATAGCATTGAAAACTGGTTCCAGGAATCTCGTGAGCTTTAGAAGTACTTTTGAAAATTTTATTGTTCACCAGGCAACATAGTTGTAGCGTAAATGCCAGATCTCCTTTCTCTGTAAACAAAAAACCAGCATACAGTCAACATAGAAGTTGTCCGTGGTCGGAGAGTGCCCACGACTGGTGCACTTCCCTATATATATTTATTATTACAGCGGTCAAAGCGGTGTTCGCTTTGGAGTATGAGAGACACTCCGTCACCTGTCCTGTTAATAGATGTGATCTTTTATGAGCGACTCGAACGCTCCTACAAGCACTGTATCCACCACGATATTAAAGGCGATTTTAGGGTGGGAAGAGAAGGTATTTTGCCACAACAATTGGGATATTCAGCTTCAGCTTCAGCTTCAGGTATGCTTAGGGATGAGGCTAATCGATTTGACCGAGGCCCGTAATATAGCTGTCTATTACACCAGATTCTATTTTCTATTTTAGCCGTGCGCTATTGCTGATTCGGTTATAATCGCGTAAGCGGTGACACACCAATGAGGAAAAATATTTTTTATAAATTACAAGTAAGTTGCGTATTCGCAGTGGTATACTACTACATTTTATTTAAATAATTTGCATCAGTTCCATTAATGTAAGTTTGGAAAATGTCTCGTCTCAGCTTTATTATGTTGAGATCAGAATAATTTTTACTGAATTCACATTGTTTGTTGGATTATTTACACTTGTGTAGTGGTAAGCCATTTCAACGCCAAACAAAAAAGAAAAAAAGATTTAATTTCAGCGTCTATAAAGAACGTGCGGATGATGCATAAGCTTGCGCTAATGCTACGAAAAATAACTCTTTCAAACGCCCATCTTTCAAAAGCGTGGCGTGCCATGGAGCGTATGTATGCTGGCGCAGCACAACCAATGCATCAAAAGGAAGCACTCAAAAGGGGCCAATTTAATATAAAAATTGCAGTTGTTGTCGTCTTTACGGTTGCGATTAGTTACAAAAGGTACGTCGTAGTATTAGTTTTTGTAGTTTTTGTTTCATTCGTTGTTTTCATTAAAAACTTTTCATTAACATTTCTAACGCAGTACGTAACGCATACTCAGTTATCAGTAAGAGTTGTTAACGTTTCGCCTAAAACCACAGCTACTTGTGTAACTAATAGATGCATATTTACAGGTGTTGTTGCCTACTGTTTTTATTATTATTATTTTTTTTTGTTTGTTTTTATCAAATCAATTAGAACACATTGTTAACGAGTAACTTGTAATATTGTATTTAGGAATGTTACGTATACGCAACAGCGAACTTTTTATATGTAAACTATGGTCTAACTGCAATTATTGTATATATAAATTTACTTAGTAACTAATTTCGGTATATATATGTATGTTGTGAAAACTCTACAAGAACGTATTTACATTTGCCTATTCAACAAGTGTACTTGTACGTATGTAACATAATAGAAATATATACATATGCACTTCTCAACATACATATTGTACAGGTGTTTATATATGTTTATGTTACATACAATGAATTTCATTTTAGATGGATGATGCTCAATCTTACGGTCAAATGTATAAGAATATGCAATTTTCATACCTAAAACTTACTCAAATATACATAGATATATGCACATATATAGGTAAAAATAATTATAATTTGCAGTTGTATATAGTTATCTGATAAGTAAAAAAGTCTCCGCGGTTTTTAAAACTAGGTGTTGTTGATACGCTCTGAGCTCGGGTCAAACCAACACATGTTTGAGTGGCAGCATTTAAAGCAATATTTTTCGTGAAGACAGGTCCATAAACCATCTTTCCTTTGCAAGTATGATTTGATTTGAAAATAATTGAAATTGCGAAAAAATATTTATTTCACTAACGAAGGGTCAGAGCGCTGCAAGAAAGTTAATTTATGTGCCCTGTCATGGGAATGTTGTAAGTCCGCCGAATAGTGCCAAAAATGCATCTCGTGAATTTTGTTTTAGCCAGCCGCTTGAAAAGTCGATAAAATTCTGCAACTGGTAGAGCAAAAACCGCTTGCAAACTATCAGGAGAAAGCAAAGGCATGAGGAAACATTCATGTGACAGTTTGGAATCAATTAAAAAAATGTTGGCTACTCAAAGAAGCTCGATGAATTAAATTAAATTTTAAATTTTAAGAACCACAAAGTCGAATCGGTTAAATGAAACTTTAAAGTTTAAATTTGAGGCAAACAAGTTAGCGCTGAATATATGGTGGGATTGGATGGGACCTGACCATTAACAGTAAAACAACTTGGCGCTATGACCATTGGACAGTAGCAAAGAGAAAATGCGCTATATTTTTCAGTATCTTCGATAAAGACGAAAACGCAAGCCAGTCGGCTGAAAATGTGAATAGCGTTTATAGTTCGGATACTGTAACAGTCAATCATGCACAATTTCGGTTTCATTGCAGTAATTTTGATATAAAAGATGTATCCCGGAGTGGAAGGCCAATTGTCGAAAATGTCGATAAAAATCATGGACATTCGATTGCTCAAGAACTAAAGACTGCGCCATTTTTGAAATTATCAAAATATGCCTAACGCCGCCAAAGTGGTTTCTTTTCCGGCAACCCTTCAGAAAAAGGAGCATTTACGTTGGCCGTAAAACTGATAGCAGGATCGTCCGAAGTGAATAAAAGGAAAATCTTATTTTAGTTAATACCATTTTGATGAAACACAAAACACAGAAGGTTATTGTGCAGTTTATGAGAACTTCTGACAACTGACCTTGAAAACACAGTTTCGAGAAATAGACGTCCAAAGCTCTAAGATCTTAGCTTACCTGCCTTTGAGCGTGCGACTTCTCAAAGCTGTATATCCTAAACTTTTGTTCGGCCCGACGTGAAAATTTATAATGATATTTTCAAGATGTTGCACAAACTAACAAAGGTATAAAAAATTGGATTTTTCAAGCTAAGAAACCTATATAAACGGCTAATAATAAGCTCTTCAAAAAAGCGTTCAAAATCGACTAATAGAAACGGTCTTGTATTTCATGATGACAACGTCAGGCCACATACATATATAGCTATGATGCACCCACCATATAACACGGAGCTTGCTTTATCTGACTACCATTTGCTTAGGTCTCCACAAAACTCCTTCGATGGTAAATAATTGGCCGAGGGAAGATCCGCTGAAAATTACTTGACAAATATCTGCGCTGATAAACCACAGAACTTCTGGATTGAACGGCTAAACTGAAAATTTCCAAATTAATGCTAAATTCTTTTGAAATGTGTAAACTTTTATATACAAATAATTTGTTATGGCTTTTGACGAAGATTCGCCTTAAGCTCTATACCTTTTACCTCCCCATATCAAAAATGGTTTAATGTGTGGAGAAAATGATGCTGCTGGAGACAGTTCAGGTAAGCCCGAGGATAT